GGCCAAACATCTACGCACAGAGGTAAAATCAACTCCTCTCTCTCCAGGTCCGCACCACAAAAGTGCTTCGAAGCTTGGCCCCAGGACACAGCAGAACACGTTCTCAAACGCGCCCCCCAAAGCTGGAAAAGGGCAATCACCATCATTCAACCTTAAAACCGAATCCGCAGTGCGCCTCAGCCTGCCAGCCAAGGCCGCGGAGAACAGCAATGGTGGCCGCCATCGGCCCTCCAACTACCTGCCAACGATACTTGGTCTGATCCATCTTGGTAGATATCTTCTTCCAAACCTCAGCACGTAACCTGGGCGATTTATGATCAAGATCAGCCTAAGATAAAGCCCAACCATTGAGCTGTTCATAGCGAAGCCTAAACTGGGGGTCATCCTTCGCATCCCCCAATAAGCCTAGCAAGGTAGTGGTGCATGCCCCTGGGGCCCACAACCCAGGGCACGTGGCAGCCTGAGCGCGCATGGACTTGACTTGACCAGGAGACAACCCCAAGACCCCATGGCCCCACGACCCCACGGCCAGGACCCCAGGTTTGTACAGCTTGCTCGCTCGGTCTACAAGCCGAGTTAACAACTGCACCTTCCTACTCTTTCGATAGGCGATAGCACGCCGTTGTCGCAACTTGCTCATATTTCGGCGGAGTCCTGCAGAGGACATGACCCCCAGATCTCGAACCGACTCTCTCCACTGAATAGGAAGGTTGACTGAAGCGAACATCTGCATGATCTCGGCTCCGAGCTCGTTGTGGGAGACCAAAAGTGTACTTTTATCTGCAATGAATGCGCCAGCAGCCTCCAGCTCGTGGCACAAGTGCAACGCAGCAGGCACGAACGCGGCGAGGACCTCTTCGCGGGATCCTTGCTGCGTCTTAGTGATATCGTCCACGCATCCCTTGATGCGGACAGGCAAGAAGGAGGCGTGGGCCTGATCCAGTATATCATACACATAGATTTTTATCCACGGCATGGATTGGCCACCGCCAGGCAAGATGCCCATTCCAGTGGGGATGAGGTCAGAACAGAAACCCTGGACCTCGAGGATACGAGGAGCTTCGTGCAGCACAATCCCCAAATACAGCAGGAACAGGGGGTACCTCATCTTCACGGCGAGTCCAGCAAGGCGACAAGGGTCCACAGTATCAAAAGACTTCTTAAGGTCCCAATACGCTCCCACCGAGCACAACCCCAGATACCTGGCCATCTCGTGGCCGAGCTCTCGGTTAAGCGCAGCCTGCAGAGCCGACGACCCTCGAATCGCAGTGTCCCAATGATTGACCTGGGCAAGGGACCAATCCTCAACATGGCTCCCACGAGCTTTGCAATAGACTCGGTACATAGTGGGACACTTGCACACAGGTCTTTCACTCTCAGCAGACTTAGGCAACAGCGCAATGATGCCCAACATAATCTGCGTCGGCTACATGAGCCGACGCTCACACCTATTAAGGAGGTGGGTGTACGACTGCACCGCCTCAGACGGAAGGGGAACCAGCATTCGAGGGGGCCACTGGTCCACGCCAACGGCCGTATCCTCTCGGAAAAGACGAGCAGCTCTCTGAATATCGCACGGTTCCAAAGGTTCAAGATCCTACAAAGACTCCAGAGCCAAGGGTCTGAGGGCATCCAAAACTCCTGAAAGCTGCTCCCGCTGGTCCCCTTGCGCATTCCAGAATTTACCCCAAACGTCCTCGCGGTATTTCATCATCTCTTCAGGGAGCTGATGCACGTCAGTTGGTGCTACTAAAACTTCAAGGTCAGC